CATACCAGTGTACATATAGATCAATGTATAACAGACACATAGGCCAATGGAACAGAATTGAGAACTCAGATGTAAATCCATTCACCTGAAGACAGCCAATCTTCCACAGAGGGCTAAGCCAATTAAGTGGGAGAAGAGACAGTCTCTTTAACAAATGATACTGGCAAAAATTGGATGTCTATCTTCAGGAAACTTAAATTAGGATGCACAGAAACAAATTTAAAATGGATCAAACACCTAAATATAAAACTTAGAACTATAAAGCTCATGGAAAAACAAATAGAGACAATTAAAACAATAGGATCTCCTAAAAATTAAACATGCTCATCAAATGCTTTCTTGTAAAGAGCAAAAAGAGAGTGTGGGGATGTCTCTTTTTACTCTGGAGGGGGAGGGAATTGCAGTGAAATATCTGTCAAGAGAACAATCTTTAATATCTAAAGGAAACGTCAACACAACAACAAATGAGACAAATAACACAACTAAAAAATGGGCAAAGGATATGAACAGATATCTCACCAAAGATGTTCAGGTGGCCCACAAATACCTGAAGAAATGTTTGTAATCTTTGGCCATTAGAGAGATGCAAAGCAATACAACAAGATACCAACTCATTTTGGCAATAATAGTAATAATTAAAACAAGAAACAAGAAATGCTGGCAAGGGTGTGGAGTGACTAGAAGTCTCATGAAATGCCAGTAGGATTGTAAAATGGTACAATCAAAGAGGTATGATACTTGTTTAAACAGTTGGAAATAGAGATACCATAAGATACGACAATCCCACTTCTAGGTATATGTCCTAGAGTAATAAGAGCTGTGACTGAATACTCATGACACCCATGTACATTGCAGCATTATTCACAATAGCAAAAAGATGGAAACATCCTAAAGGCCTGTCAACAGATAAATGTTTAAACAAAGTATGGGGTGTATGCACACAATGGAAGGCTATGCCATGTTTAAAAAACTACTGATTAATCTGTCCAGCATCTCATAACATGGAAAACCTGGAGGATATTTGCTGAGTGAAACAAGTCAGTCACAAAAGGAAAAATATTATATGAGATCATCACGAAAAAAGTCAAGAAAAGGTTTGCATGTAAAATTATTCATATATCAGGGATAGGAGGAGAAGGGAGTGGAAATCACTAACTAGAAAGGAGACATTTATTAACTTGGATGAAGAAAAAGGCAATAGGTGTTCAGCCTAACACAAGCAAGGCAAAGGAAGACACTGGAAGGTGCACAAGAATAAAAGGCAACAATAGTAAGTACTATTACATACAAAATCCTGCAATAACAATAATAGCCAAATGCCATTGAGTCTATTCCAATTCATAGTAACCCTGTATAGACTATCTGATGCTATAAATCTTTATGGGAGCGGACCACCTCATCTTTCTCCCTCAGAGTAGGTGGTGGGTTTCCCCTGCCAACCTTGTGGTTCGTAGCCCATATCTGATTCACAAGGCCACCAGGGCTCCGTCTAAGCAGACCAAGCCCACTGCCATCGAGGCCATTCTTACTCCTAGCGACCCTGTAGGACATAAAAGAACTGCCCCTGTGGGGTTCAAAGACTGAAAAATCTTTATTGAAATAGAAAGCCTCATTTTCTCCCTTGGGGCATCTGGTGGTTTCAAACTGCTGGCCTTACAGTTAGCAGCCCAGTGCATTATCCACTGTACTGAACAATCACAAACAATAATTTACATAGGTAGCTTTGCAAGTTGAACAGATGTGGGAGGGCATATGAGAGTATACCCACAAATATATGAGAGGGCTTCAAAATTTTTCATTATCTTCCATTTTTCTCTTAACTTTTTGAAGTCTACACCTTCTACCCTGTATGTATAGATGTAGTGCAGTGAATTATTCAATATGGCTTTTCTAGCCTAAGTCTCTGTAACTCCCACCAAATGACCCTTTCCCAATGGGTAGAGGAATACACTGATAGAAGCCAGTTATGAGTGATTGTTTATAAGGTTAATTGTGATTGCCATACTACTGGATATAAAATGAACCATATCAGAAGCAGGAAGGAGGAAGTATTACTACCAGCAAGAGAACAGAGCCATGAGTAGAGTGTGTCATTTGGACCCTGAGGTCCTTACACATTGAACCTCCTGGACCCAGGAGACAGTTTTGACATCAGAGGAGCAACACAAGAGCAGCAGAATCAGGAGCCAGACCATGAGACACAGCAGTGAATTTCTCAGCCCACAAAACACATAAAATTGAGTGCTTTGGGGCAACAGGCTGACTTGTGCCTCTGGGCATGTAATTAAGGAAGCAAGGTTTTGCTGACGTGCTGCAAATATATTCATATAGCAGAGCACATGAGGGCAAAGATAAAACTATCTAATCCATTACCCAACACCTAGAAACAATGAGTCACTGGGTTTAGAACTTAGGATCTCCATTCTTGGGGCATGTAGATCAATTGGCATAACATAGTCCACAAAGACAATATTCTACATTCTACATTGGTGAGCATCACTGGGGTCTTCAAAACTAAGAAGAGACTATTGATCTCTCCCTGACTGGAACAAAGAGGAGTAAAGAAAATCTAAGACTCAGGGAAACAATGAATCCAAAAGACTAATGGGCCATCCAAACCACAGCCTTCACTAGGCTGAGACCAGAAAAACCAGATTATATCTGGCTAATAGGCTGACCTCTTTGATCAGAATCACAAAAAGAGGATCCTAACGGAGTAGGAGAAAAAAATGTAGAACAAAATTCAAAATCATAAAAAGACCAGGTTCACCAATCTGATAGCAAATGGTAGAACCCCTTAGACTATGACCCTTCCAAAACCAAACTCACTGCCATCAAGTCAATTCTGATTCATAACAACCCTCTAGGACACAGCAGAACTGCTCCTGTGGATTTCTGAGACTATTACTCTTTACAGGAGTCTGAACCCACTCCCAGGGATCACCTTTCAGTCAAACAATAAACAGGCATATAAAGTGAAAAATAACACCCATAAGGAACCCATTCCTCTTAACAACCAACTATAGGAGACTAACAGGGCAGCATTCAGCCAGAAACAAAGTTCAGAAGGCAAGAAGCGGCAGGAAAGATGAGCAAATGGAAACGGGGACCCCAGGAAGACAACAGTAAGATGGGTGTTAACATTGAAGGAAGCCACAAAACAAAATGTGTGTAAACTGTTGAATGGGAAATTAAAACACTTTGTAAACTTTCACCCAAACTACAATAAAATGCTATTAATAAAATATATCATTTTATGGTTCAGGCAACTGATCTGAGACAATAGTCTGTTTAATTAGCCAAACAGTTGCTTTACCAAACAACAGTTTACTGTCAAGACTTATTTCAAGATTTTCATATTGGTATCCTAACCTATTATCTCTTTCTCTTTCTTTTTTGTCTTTTTCAGGGGAAAACACGAATGCAGTCCCCCACTACTACAAATTATGCAGTTGAGTTTCCCACATTTGGGGAATTCGCAGGGGTCACCACACCTGCAGTGCAATGGATGAGCCTCACCCTGGGAAAACCACCTTCCTGATCATGGTGTCTCCCCTGGCAGGTAAGTATCCTAAGCTATTATCTCACAAAATTTCCTCAACCCCAATAAGTTTCTGCTTTAATAAAAATCTTGATTTTGTACATACATATCAACAGCCTTAGAAAATGTTAGTTATGATGTTTCATTTCTTAAAAAAAATTCTCACTCCTTTAAATCACACAATATATTTCTCAGATGTGAAATGATTCATAATAGTCTTCAGAGTTATCCTTAGTGTTATGTCAGAAATCCAGAGAGACTTTTTATTCTCAGTTTACTGGAAGCCCAAATACCATTAATAATATTTTTAAATAAGTTAAAATTTTCTTGAGATATTACAATATCCCTAAATATGTTTAGGTAAAATGCAGTCAATGAATATAAATAAAACCATAATCTTTTATTTGATATATTATAAATTCTTTCTTTTATGCCTGTTATTATAGTCCCATTTTAATGAGAGTTCTCTCTTATACCAATGGAGAGAATTAAAGTGGGATGTATTCTGAGTCTCCACCTTAGGAGAGGTTGTGAATCATGTCAACTCCCTTTGTTTCCTTGGGGTCTGCTGGGAATAAAAACTGCACTTCCATTAAAGCCATTCCTCTGTGTATGAGAGCCATCTTGAAAGCAAAGAGAGAAAAATCATAGTACCATCAAGGAAGCAGAACCATCAGGGGAGTATGTTCCAGATCTTTATTTGAAGTGGCAGAGGCTAAGACCAGAGGCAACAGAGGCTGCAGCATGGAGACTATGGGACAGGGCAAAGAAGCCAAGCAGATACCTGAGGCCAAGGCAAGGAGACTATGAGGCAGAACCCAGGAGCAGTGCCAACACTGATACTGTGAATCAGAGCAGCAGGCTGGTTTCCTAGTCCACCGAGGCAGAAGCCAAAGGACCAATTGACTGAGAAGTAGAGGACTGAGAAGTAGCGATAGACTTGGCTGCTAGCTGAGAGGAGGTGTTGCTGTAGACTGATTGTTCTCAACCGTCCTAATGCTCCGACCCTTTAATACAGTTCTTCATGTTGTGGTGACCCCCAACCATAAAACCCAAAGGGGGTCACAACCCACAGGTTGAGAACCACTGCTGTAGACCAATAACTAGATCCTTAATGTATTGTGATCGTGGCTTGTGGTAATCTATTAACTTTCTAATATACCCCTTTAATTCTGAGTATTATATTAGTGAGTTCTGTGTGACCATTGCAATGGATTGCTGAACCCAAAAGAGGAGTGTCAGAATAGGATAAAGAAGGATGGAAGGTGGAGGCATGTCTGACCTCTGCCCTATGGCAATCACGTGCAATTGGAGTCTCCTTTCTTTTGTAGCCAGAGGAAGTCCAATATGACCTCCACACTGTTTACTCATTAGGTAACTGAAAAATTAACTTTTTAATAAATTAAAATATATTTTAAATGAATACTATAAATGCTAGTTAGGAGAAAATAATACTTACCTTTTGCCATTTAAGGTCTTGTACCTCCACAATAATTTTACCAATCTGCTCTTCATATTGAGTTTCTGTTTCCTAGTTAAAAATAAAAATATGAAAATTACAACTTTAAGTCTTAAAGTCTCAGCTCACTCATTTTTTATTGCTATCTCATCAATTAAAACCACTGATGATTCCATGTGTGCAAAGTAGTACTGCTCCAAAGGATTTCAAATGCAAATCTCCGGGCTTGTCTTCGAAAGCACCTCAAGGTAGATTTGAAACACCATCCATTAGGATAGTAGTCAAGTGTTTAACTGGTACACCATTCAGGGACTCCAGGGACTCTTACCAGCTCTTTCATGAGAGGTTTAAAAACAAGCATCCCTCTACTCTTACTTACACACACACACACACACACACACACACACACACACTGGACAAACAGGATGACAAATAATTACTTTCCTTGACCCCACTGGAGAAATGAAGTCAAAGACCAAACTCTAAATCTAGATTGAGATAGTTGTCTGCAGGGAGAAAAAACATCCAAGGATTTGATTGCTTACCAACATCCAAGCGTTTTTTGCTTACCACTGAGTACACTATAAGTCATAAAGACAATTCAAGTAGAAATCCTCAATAAATTACATAAAGGCAGAGAGTGGGTTAAAGTAAAAACAAAAATCCACAGGAGGCTGCAGACATAGAGAAATTTACATCCTCTACTAAGCCTTTTTCCTAAGAAATCCACCAGATGCTGACAGAGAAGATCAGGAACAATACGTAGAGTTTAGCTATAGTAATGACTGAGGAGGGGAAGAGCAACCTCGATCATCTTCCTTATACCTCTACTGCACAAAAACTTTAATCTGTATAGGGGAAGGCAACAAAAAAATATAGCTAAAGACACTATTGGAAACCTTCTGCAGCCAGGAAAGCATCCCAATGGCTGCTTTTAAAACTCTACCCAAGTTACACCAAATGAGGGTGAAGTGTACACAGCTTGCTTGCCAAAGGTAAATGATGTCACTAAAAAGTATACACAAAAAAGATCTATTGCTCATTGCTATGGCATATATGATATTTAAACAACAGCAAAAAACCCACAATAATATATGTGTGTATACATTTGTATATATGCAGGGATAGAGAAGTACATATATGTGTGCATATATATATAAAGGTATGTGTGTATGTATATGCATTTATTTGGCGATATGCACATATATTCATATATATAATAAAGCACAATAGAGGACATCATTATAGATTCAGCTTAGATATAACCAAACACCTCATTGGGTTGGACATTTGGGTTTGAAAGATTAAGATCATAATCTTGCGGGGAAGTTCAGTCAATTAGTTAATGAAGTTATGTTCTACAGTAGTGAGCAGAGTCTGGAATCCTAACATTTTGCAAATGACAAATATACAACTACTAGTCTCTAATCATTTGGAGCAAAAGGGGAAAAAAGGAAACCAAAGACTCAAAGAAGAAACTCATCTACAGAACAAAGAGTGTATATAAGCCACAGTCTCATCCACCCTGAAACCAGAACTAGATGTTGACCTGCTACTCACTACTGCCTGTTCTAGTCAGGACTTAATAGACAAGATAGATAAACCCTGATAGAATGGGAGAAAAATATGGAACAGAACTTCAAGTTCTTTTTTAATTACAAAGGCCTACTGGTCTGGCTGAGACTGAAGGACTCCTGTTATTACACTGGGGTTCATCAAACCTTGAACACTGAATTCACCTTGTAGTTAATACCACATATGCTTTAAAAAAAAGAAAAGAAAAAGAATATCACCTGTACCTACTGTGCTCTTCAAAAAATAACCTATAGGAGGCCAAACTGTCAACAATTACCTTAAAAAAAAGATGAGAATGTAATGGGACAAGGAAATTAATAAGAATGTTTATGCATTGTCAAGAATGTAACCAATGTCACTGAAAATTTTGTGTAGAATTCCTAAGAAACACCTCAAAAGAGGAGACCTCACAGTGGATGGGGTCACTCCTTCAAGAAGAGGGGAAAAGGAGAAGGCCGTGCACTTGATGCTATACAACATTGAGACAAGGCTGCAACAATTCAACAGTCCCTTCACAAGAATGAGATGAGAGCCTTACCGGAAAATCAAGTTAAGACCAGGGAAGGGTAGAATATATTTCAGAGGAGGCACTGATATTTCTGTTGGTAGGTATAGTGAGTAAGTGGGAAGGAACAACCCCTCATCAGGAAGAGATGCAAAACAGTAATTGTAGGGAACCTAAGGGGAAAATAAATACTTTTCTATATTCCTGAGTAGATACTTCAAATATGTTTAACCATGCCATAGACTAAGCACTATGATGACCTTAGGTGCTGGCCTTACAGGGAACATGGCATCCCTCAAGGGTTACACCAGAAAGACTCAACTTGGAAGCCCAACTAAACAAACTGGACTGTACTTCCAAACTACCTGTATGTGGTAGTTACATAATCTCATGTCAACTTGAGGATATAAAGAGTGAAGGGGTGGAGTCTGGTCTGTCAATCAGGTCACAGCCCAATAATGCCTCCTAGTGGGTGTTACCTTCTCATGAGGATCCTGGGAACTTCCTCTCTTTCTCCCTGGAGGTGAGACACACTTTCTGCTTCACCTTCCTGTTGAGGAACCACACTCAGAGAACTGGAGGAGCCAGCACTGAGATGCTTCCACGGGCATTGGATCCACAAAACTTTCCACCCATTGGCCTGTGAGCGTACTATATTTGGCATCATTACATGTGCTGTGTGAGTCTAAAGAGGAATTTGTGGACTAGTATCGGGCATATGGGCTAATATCAGATTTAGGTACTTGATCTGGACTGGGCTGGGGTGTTTTCTTAATATACAATTTCTCTTTGATATAAAGCTCTCTTTTGCATACATATGAGTATCTCTAGATTTGTTTCTCTAGTCAATCTAGACTAACACACTGTACCCTTGGACTTAGGACTGAAATACCCTGATGAGAGAGAAAGCGAAGGATGGCCACCTCACGACTGTGGAAATAGATGGCAATCATTGGATCTGGAGTGGGACCCATGGCTTAGTAGGTATCCAGAACCTAGAACCACCATCTATTTAGTACCTCAATGCTTCCCTGGCATTAATATGACAGGTATTAATCTGAGAGGTAATGATCTACCCTTGTAAGAAATGGCACTGTGTTAGTCCAGGTAGACTAGAGAAACAAATCCATAGAAACTCATATGTGTATAAGAAAGAGTTTTATATAAAGGGTAATTGTACATTAAGAAAGCATCCCAAACCAGTCCAGTCCAAGCCCACATGTCCAATATTCGCCAATATATCCGATACCAATCTATAAAGTACTCTTCAGACTCATGAAACACATGCAATGACACCGAATGCAGGACGATCACAGACCAGTGGGATAGAAAGTCTTTGGATCCAGTGGTGTTATAAGCATTTGAGTGCTGGCAGGGGTCTCTATGTGGCTTCCCCAGCTACAGAGGTCTGGTTGCATCAGGGTAGGTCCATGTGGCTTCTCCAGCTCAGGGCACTAGCGTAGTTCCATGTGTCTTGTCAGCTGCAATGTCTCCCAGGGAGTCACCACTGTCAGTAGAGCTTCCAAGGAAGTGAAAAAGTGAGAGAGAGTCTCCCTCTAAGGAGGAAATACCAGTTTTCCCAGAATTCTCAGGGGAAGGTCATGCCCACATAGGTATCATTGGCTATGACCCAGACTAGACTCCACCCCTTCACCCTTAATCCTCTCGAGTCCCAAATTGACACCAGATTATGTAACTACCACAGGTACAATTTTTTCCCCCTAACATCAACCCACATGCTCAATGTAAACAGAGCTCAATCAATTACAAAATCAATCTGTACAAAGCAACAACTCATGGATTGCAGTTTGCAGTTGAACTATACTCACATAAACTCTTCATATCAACATTACCTTAAATTCTATGCCATTGGATAAATTATTGATGATATTAATGCAATCACCTTATAGCCTAGGCGATGATTGACAATGTTTTTCTTTTTTGTTTCTCTGTTGCTGTTTTTTTTTGTTGTTCTTGTTGGGTCAATTAATGTTGCTTCTTTTGTTTTTGTCATAATATGACCATCAGTCAAATAAACCAGAGTTATTCATAACCTGTGGACAAGCTGATGGAATCTGGGCTCCCACTTAATTCAAGCCCCAATCCAAGAACAAAACATGGCCCTGCTTGATACTTACCTTCACAAAGAGATCACTGAAAATAAGGGTGCTACAGCAAAGTGTGGCGAGGAAAGCACATGGTGCCCAGCTATCAATTAAAATAATGCCTGGGGTCTTAAAGGCTTGTATTCAAACAAGCAGCCATTTAAGTGAGGCATCAGTTAAGTTCACATTGAGGAAACAAACGAGCCTATGTGATGCAAAGATGATGATAACAAAATCCAAATACGGGAAGGGGAAAATATCAGAGTTTAAATTCTGAACACTCAATTTGTAGAAAGCTATGGAGGACAGTGGGAGCCCAATATCCATCTGCACAGTATCTAGTCAGGTTAAGCCTCTGGCATATCCCCTCTAGCCACAGGTATGGGACTCAAACAGCTTTACTTTCAGACAGAGATTATTGTAAACTTGATTGTGGTAGATCGAATGATGATATAATATGATACTTGGTCAATTGACCTCCCTCTTGACCCAATCTAAATTTGCCTAGGTTCAAATATTTCTTGTTTCTGCCATGACTGAAATTTCTTCTCTGGCTTTTAAAATGTTGCTGGTCTTTTGTTTATTCATTCATTTTATCTTTATATTATTATTTTCTTCTTTCTGTTTCATTTTGTTGTTTTTCATTGTTTCTGTTAGTTTTCCCAGTTTATGAAGCCAGAAGGAGTGAATGCATAGAGACAATGACTGATGCAATGATTTATTGAGATGGGGGATGGTGGAGGCTTTGGGAAGCAAACAATGAATATGGAAGGGGGGAGGGACTACTAAATGATGTATATACAACTCTTTTTAAAAAGCAATTTAACTATGGAAGTGTATTAAATGTGGATTTTATTACAAGAAAACTACTTAAAAAAGAAACCATA